GCTCCATTACAGCATTCTATAGTAAACTGTGATTGATTTTATCCTCTAATTTTAGTTATTTATAGAGAAGGTATTATTTTTCTAGGGTCAAGATCATAACGTACCGGGTGTTTATCAAGAGTGATTCGCCTCTATAACTTGTTTATTTTTTCTGATAAAAAAACGAGATTTATTATTTTTATTATTAGGTATGTAAGCATATGACATAAATTAGGATTGATTGACGTATTCAGTTCGTTTCCATCGCTTCCTGTTTCACCGGAAATTATTACAACTTTTGATTTCTAAATGGCACCCTCGGTTTTTTTTTACTTTATTCGATAGAAAATGACGCTCTGAGTAGAATTCCTATAGTACAATATTTAAATATTAAAATCGCAATCGCAGGTTACAGTCGCAGCGATTTAAAAATCGCAATCGCAGTTTCTATTGCAATTGGAGAATCGCAGTTTTGCTCATCTCTAGTGTCCAGTACTGGTACTTCCCAGTGAGTATTTTATTCCTTTAAAGGAAATATGTGTTCTACGTGACGTCGTTGTTATGTTACCAGGCCCTTCTTTTGCCTGATAAAAATGAATAAAACGCAGATACGTAACTGTTCCCTAATGTTTTCTAAATGTGACAAAACTTTGCTCACTGGGTTGGTTTATCTCCCAGGATTTGACAAATTTTTACAAAATGTAAAAAAAAATTCTCTTTAGTTAGAGTCTTCATTAATAATGTCAAGGTGTTTGTTGCACTAGTGTAAAAAATAGCTACTTTTTGCACGATCGTAGAAAAAAGCCATTTTAACGCCTAGGCACAAAAGCAAAGCACTTTTACGCCTAAACAAAAAGGTACGAAAATATATTATTAAACAACTGATTAAATTGATATAAAGTATCAAATTCAACGAGCGTATAGTTTCTCGATATATAATGACTTATAAATATGACTTTTAAATATTTTTATATTATTTGGAACTTGGCAAAGGCCGGAGCTGGTTGCAGTGAAAAGAGAAAATATCCCAAAAGGGGCGACCATCACGGTCTTTCTGCAGAGGAGCAAGGGAAAAGACATTATTTACCTGTTGAGCCTTATCCAGGCTCAGAACTTCAATGTAAGGACATCGAGTTGGCGAGTCATTAACTCAAGGGAGGAGAGTCATGGTCAGGTCCTCACAATAGGAATTGACCTCAAATCCAAGTAGGCAATAGAAAAAGAGGGATATCTCCTCTATTTTTCTTCATTCAGGGCCCGAATTCTGTAACTTTGACATAAAAACGTTATGCTTTCAAAGCGGTGAGCGAGTATGCGATTAGCGGAACGCCAAGCAGTCGATTTTGGTATTCTCGTTGCTGTACGAATCGTTTTCTGGTTACGCGTTGAGCACATATTAACAGCATCGCAATTTCTCAGGCATCTAATAGTTAAACATTAGTCAAATGTGAATAAAGCAATGAAAAATGTCAATGTTACGTGAATTTCATAACCTATTGTTGAGTTATGTCAACCTATTTTTCTATGGATATGTCATTATTCCTATCATACGAGGGAAATGTTGAAGATGCTTCTCAGCATTTTCGATGTTTTGAACAATATTTATAGCTGCCAAGTCGTCAATAATTATCAATTATTTTGTCGGCAGACATTACGTAAAAACAAACTTCTAATTAACAGTTGTTACTTGAAGAATGCATGTTAGCTCATGATGAGGTAAGACCAAAAAGCTCAAAATGTCTAAATAGTAATGTTATGTGATGTTTTTGATTGACCAAACCAAACCAAATCAGAAACATAGACTACTAACATTTACAGATTTTTGAGCAATATATTTATTTACATTTGATTCGACTAGAAAAGTATTTTTTATTTTTCGTTTGGGGGTTGTCGGGGGTTATTCATTCTTTCATTGTAAAATAAAAATATATTATATTATAAAATTTAATATTTAAACCAAGCAAAATTAACTTTACATATTTGTGAATTTCAAAAAATAATGCAACTATAATTATTATAAACTTTTTACAAACGTATATGCATTAATCAGTGCATTACTTTGAATATGGTAGACAATGCTTCCGTAATAAACGCGACAATGCTTCCTTAATAAGTGTGAACTGATAGTTCACAGTTGACTCTTGATAACGGTCAGTGATATTTCTGACCGAAACGTTGTGTAAGTAAAATAAATAAAGACAATTCTTTCAAATCAGACATTCTTTTAGTTTTTTTGATCAGTGCATATTCACATGACACCAGCACTTAGTACTGTTTAACCTGGCGTATGGCGTGTAGCCTCTAACAGTTTGGTGTGCAATGATTTTACATTTTGCATGAAGGTAGGCACGACCGTTTTAAAAACGTTTTAAGTCCTTCAGAAAGCCGTTTGTTCCGTTTCCGTTTCGCCGACAACGTTCTTTACATATTCACCTGATGCGTTTCCTCTAACCTTTCAGCGAATTTAAATTCGGTCTTGCGGGATATTTCTGGAATTAATGCTGCAATTAAATGGCAAAGGTAGGAATGGAAAGTGTGGAGGGAAACACATTTGCGTAAAAGTAGATTCGTCAATTCGAGCGGGATTTATTTCAATTTCTTTTGATGTTGGCGTCATATTTTACGTATTTATTATTCAGTACTATAAATAATAACTTGTAGCATTATTTTTTAGGAATTTCTGGAATTTCTTCTATGTAGAATGTAGAATGTGTGGAAGGGGGATTAATCACCGCGACCTTAAAGATCTATTGTGTCCCCCTTTCTTATGCTGGGTTGGGTTAGAAGGATGTCGTAGGGGACACATGGGTCAATATTAGTCATCTTTATTTCTGTAATAATTATGATATTCTGTAATAATGATATGATATATCTGTAATAATGATACGATATTCTATTCTAATTAAAACACTTTATTTTTAAGGGCACTATTTAGATTTACTTATTAATAGGGATGGTAACCCTGCCAACCCCGAGCTCAGAACTAGTTAAAGGTTCAATACTGTACAATGCCAAAAAAATGTACAATCATCTGCCTTTGAATATTAAGTCGCTTTCATTCTTTCCCGCATTTCGCAAAGCTCTAAAATCATACCTACTGGAGAGAGCCCTATATGGGGTAAACGACTTTTTGTTGATGTTTACTTATGAACAATTTTGAATTTTAAAATTTTAATATTTAATATTTTATAACTCTAAAATTATATCTATTTACTGCGTACTGTTCTAAAATTGTCCATGTATATTCTTTTTGTAATTTTAAAGACTTAAATTTTTTTGAATTGTATTATTTGTATTTTGTATTTTTTGCTGTTTGTATTTTTTTGTGATTTTGTTGTTTGTGAGTGCTTTATCGATGAAGCTATTTTGACTTTTTGTACAATAAAGCGTTGTTTGTTTGTTTGTATATGTCTATTTAATTTTTTGATCATGTAACGAGCACTTTGTTTACTCACTTGTTTCGTCGAACCGCTTGAATCCATTTTTGTTATTGATTAAATCGGTGTAAGAAATTATGAAGCTATAAAAATGTTGTTTAGGGAGAGTTGAATATCCGGGAAAGTTGAGTTATTGAATGTTATTGCACCCAACAACGCCCTAATTACGCTCTCCTTTACGCGTTAACGTTTTTTAGTCAATTTTATTAACATTTGAAATTGTCACAACACAACAGGACGCCTAGTTTGAATTGTTTTTCACATATTTTTTACTACCCGAAACAGCGTTACATCCGAGGGGTGTCTCACTCGGGTAAAAAATGTACACGTACTGCCAAAATATCCTTCCACTGCTAAACGACTGCCAATGACTATGAAGAAGACTGCCTATGACTGCCATGTAATTATTATAGTTGACTGTCATAAGACTGCCAATGACTGCCAGCGACTGCCAAGAAATTGTACAGGTAATTCCAATAGTGAGACACCTCTCGGTTACATCACACAAACCTCGTACCTGAGTGTTTTATAGTCTCAATAACTGGACTAGCAAAAAACTATAATACTTAAATATTATGACAAAACCCCGATTTCAATATTATTTTAATGCGATCGACATGACATGACAGCGGCGGCGTGAACTATATATTGATAATTTCTTATTTCTATAACACAACCCTGTTGTAGAGGGGACAGGGTATTTCCCATCCTCCTCTGACAACAGTTCTTCCTCCGAGGGTACACACCCTTCCACCAGTCGAGAAGCTTGCCTCCGGCTGAGGAACCCGTGAGGTAGAGACTGGAGGATCTGTCTCCATTTTCTCCACCTCTTTAACTTAGTCTCTCCTTAGACCTGATATCGGTGTTGTCCCGTATCTATAATAGAGGATATGTCCCTCTTTCTCTATTGCCTCTTTGGATTTGAGGTCAATTCCTATTGTGAGGACCTGACCATGACCCTTCTCCCTCGAGTTGATAACTCGATGTGCCTACACTAAAGTTCTGACCTTAGATAAGGCTCAGCAGGTAGGTGGTGTCTTTCCCCTTGCTCCTCGGCAGAAAGACCGTTATGGCCGCTCCGTTACGGATGTTTTCTCCCTTCACTGCAGCCAGTTCCGGCCCTTGCCAATTTTTAAGCTTAGGTGCGATTTCCACCAACCAATTCGCCGATTCTTGAGATACACAATCTATGAGAATCACGCCCACCCGAAAGTGTATCCCCGCAGAAAGTAGCTGACCCACATCTTGTAGATCGTTGTGTTGCGATCCGATCGCCACTACTTCGTCCAGTATAGCCTTCTAGAGACGTTTGCTGGCCAGTACCGAGCAACCTCTTGGGAAATCTTTTGGCAGCACTGCCATTTTCACTTGTTCAGCAATAGCGGCAAAGCTAATACGTCCCTGCTTGCCTCCTGGTGTTGGATGGCTTTCTATCCTGGCTTTTTCTCTCCCCCCTGTCGGAGAAGAGGTGAGAGGCTCTCGCTCCCTCTCTTGCACTTTGATGGAGATGAGTCAGGCTGTTTTTTGGTTTCTTTACTCTCCTTTTTTCGGAGGAGTGTTTTTGCCTTTCCAAGAAGGGATTATCTCGGACGGCTTCCAACACTTGTCTCTCAGTCTTTGTATGTTCCGTCGTCTTTTTCTTTTGCACAATGGTCGCTTTTTTCAGTACCTTCATAGCGTAAAGGCGCCCGTCGTCAGAACCACCGCGTTTTCGTACCAGGAACACTTTACCATAAGCTGCAACAATAACACCTCATTAGTTCAGAAAATATATTAATCAAATATTAATATACTAAATATCATTAAACAATTAACTGACATAAATAACAACATTAAATGACATTACGACAATAATAGTTACCAAAGCCACCTCGTCATATAAAAAATAGCATCAAAAAGTAATGATATAATTGAAAAATCTGGCATGTGTTTTACATATGCTCAGGAGACATAGTTCTGACCCAAAAATAATATTTGAGGAAATTTTGCTCACTAAATTATTGCACAGAATTCTCTAACTTTTTATTTTTTCAGACAAAAAAAACGAGATTTGGTATGTTAGTATATGACATAAATTATGATTGATTGACGTATTCAATTGTTTTGGGTCACTTCCTGTTTCACCGGAAATGACTGCAAGTTTTGATTTTTAAATGTCACCCTCGGTATTTTTTTACTTAATTCGATAGAATGACACTCTGAATAGAATGACATATCATATGTCAACTTTTGACATTTTCTCATATGGTTTATTTGAAATTGTAACATGCTTGTTTCATAACGACAATTTGACTCGAAATACCAAGTGTGTGGTACCAAATTATTCGTAAAAAAATCTTTTTCCAAATATGCTAATGAGGCACCCTGGTTCCATTTGAAAAAATTGAGATATGATTAAAAATACGATTTGGGCATCTTAATCAGCCAGGAAAAAAGACTAATAACATTAGACGGTTAAATATATGTTTCCAAAGCTCCTTGATTAAAAATTAGTGTTTTAAACACTCTATGGCAAACAGAACAAGAATGTTTCGTAATCTAAATCAATATAAATCTTCTCAATCTCATATTAATCATAATCAAAAACAACAAATAATTAAAAACATTCATTTACAAACAGCTAAAACATCATTGAACTAGATGTATGTACGGGTGCAATACTCGATTTTAGCATTTCTTTTGTTTTCCTCTAATCTGTCATATTAATAAGTTAAACATTTATTATCTTATCTTTGACCATTTATTTTTAAGTTATCGTTCGTTATCAACCTGACAAACCCTTCTCCATAGCAAGCGCACTTAATCAGTAGACATAAATAATTAATCATAATACAGGGTGGTCCGAATATGTATAAATGTATCTCCTAAAATGCTTCGTTTCGGAGATACAGGGTGTAGAAGTTTCATTTTTATTTCGTTTTTTTTTCAAATAAATTCTGAACTAACATCTATATTTAGATGAAATTTGAGGTCTGGGTGGTTTTGAATGCATGAGAAATTCGATTCCGATGTCAGTATGACTCCTACTTCTAGGGGGCACCACCTACATATTTTTTAGCTGTTTTAGACTTTTCGTCCGTACCTGTATAAAAGTATTGAGTAAAAAATATACTTTTCCGTCATTTTTTACGTAAAAAAGGTCTCTTGGTAAAAATCGCTGCGAGTAATGGTTCTCAAGATATTTGGAATCTAAATAGTCAATACATGTCATAATTACAAAAGTTATACATGTTGACTGGATAGTTAGTCTCAAATAATAAATTTAAAATGTTTTTGTGCGAAAGATTCAACAGAAACTATTTCATCGTATGTTTTTCCAAAAAAGAAACTTCTACACCCTGTATCTCCGAAACAATGCATTTTAGGGCACATGTTTATACAAGCTTTTTTACTTATTTTTATCTGCTCAATATGCTGCCGAAGTTTCCGGAATACAATTCGGACCACCCTGTATATTTCTGTCCAAGTTGGTTATATTATTAGAGAATTAAAATCAAATTGGGACTAAAATAAATAAAATACGTAAAATAATAAACCCCTATCTAAAAAGAGCCTTGACAAGTGTATTAATTTTATGCAAGAATATTGTAAAAAATTGAATGGATGACGAAGAAGAAATTGAGAGCAATGTTAGGTTTAATGTAGTTTATTTTGAAACCCAGTTTCAAATGTATTAGATACAAAGTGATCAAATAGCGATTTCGTTGTCACTCGGCATAACGAAAAAATATAAAACATGGTACAATATGTACAGGGTGGGTCAAATTCGACGCTTTTAAATGGAAACACCCTTTTCTATAGGAGATAGACGAAAACTAATATCGGTGTCTGGAGCTCAATTTTCATCAAAAACATGATGGTGAAAACCGCACATCAATATCTGTTACCGTTTCGGAGTTATGTGTTGTTCAAAAATGTGCATTTTTATCAGTAGTAACTTTTTTGCTATGGAAAATTTTATATTTCTATGAAAACATTTCCAAAGCACCTTTTTACGTAGAATTTAATGGTTTAAGTATATTTTTTTTAAATTAATAATTTAAGAGTTATCAACAGAAAATTTGATTTTTTTATTTGGGACACCCTCTATGTTTTTAATTAACTGAAAAGAATTTAAAATTACCTTTCCAAAAATATAGCACACTTGATATTTTGTTATAATCTCCTTCGAAATACAGAATTTTTAAAAGTTCGCCACTTTTAACTAGTAGGCTTTGGACCCCTTATTGATGATATGCCCTTAATGGAACTCGAAAACATATTTTTCCAGCAAGACAATGCACCGCCTCTGAACGCTGAAGTTATCAGCAAATTTTTGCAGACAATTTCAAGAATAATTGAATAGAGCTAACCAAGATCCCAGCCGTTGGCCGTCGAGGCCGCCTTGACATCGATCTAATCCTATGGATATATTTGCGGAAGAATAAAGGTTCCTTATTATTCCGTATAATCTAGACAAGAATTAGAAATACTTAGCAGTTATGAGAGGGTATCTTTCACCCCCACTGAGTTAATGAATTCCGCGAGAAATGTTCAAAAACTGCCCCATCTGTCCATAACTGAAGACGGTCGATATGTCGAACACCTGTAGCAAAATCTCATGTCTTGGTTTGCTATTTATTTTTATTGTTATTAGATATAGTTTAAGTGTGTTGATGTTGGTTAAATACATTTTAAATTGTTATAAAGTTCTGCATCTCTCATAGCAAATATTGTTTTCGTTTTAATTGATACTCACAGCTAGAATTTTTTTGCATTACAGCAGGTGCCGTTCAAAGCCTACTTATTGAAAGCGGTGAATTTTTATATACTCTATATCTCGAAGAGGAATCGAGCAAAATATCAAGTGTGTTATATTTTTGGAAAGGTAATTTTAAATTCTTTTCAATAAATTAAAAATATACAGGGTGTCCCATATAAAAAATCAAATTTTCTGTTGATAATCCTTAAATTTTTAATTTTAAAAAAATTATATTTAAACCATTAAATTCTACGTAAAAAGGTGCTTTGGAAATGTTTTCATAAAAATACAAAATTTTCAATAACAAAAAAGTTACAGCGATTTGTTAAAAATGCATATTTTTGAAAAACTCCGAAACGGTAACAGATATCGATGCACCATCGATTTCACCATCATGTTTTTGACAAAAATTGAGCTCCAGACCATTTAAAAGCGTCGAATTTGACCCACCCTGTACACTTTAAGCGAAGATATGATGTATTCTTAATATTAGGGCGGCAGAAGTCTACAGTATAAATAGATATATCTAGGGGAGTTTGCTACCTAAGAGCAATTTCACAAGGGGTTTCGCTAGAAAATAAGATCCAGGGGTTATGTCGCCTTGGACTATTATTTGGCGAGATTTGACGCATACGAATTAGTAAATCAATTTTGGTGAATTTGGGGTTGTTTGTCGAGAGGGGATGTGGAACATTATTACAGAATGAATTAGGGTTATAGGTGGAATACAGAATCGCAATAAGTTAACGAATTAAAAAGGTAAAACGCATCATATTTTAGTTACCTACTATAGTTTTTACAATATTCTAGAATAACGTTATGATGCTGTGTTATACGATAATTAAATGTCTCCAAAAAAGTCCTATGGGTATTTTTTTGATAATTAAATGTGTTTGCCCCTCGGTTTTTTCCTATATCCACAAATCTATAGTCAAAACTTTTCAAGCAAAGCTTGAACTGCAGAGGAAGTAAGGTCGAGTATTTTAAACGTGTCATTAAAAATGCATAACATATACATAAAAATACTGTTGGGTGAGACAACACTTTTTTAATGTTAATATAAGGAAGCGTGCTTATATACACGTGTCGGTAAAACGAATAATAGAATAGTCCTATTAATAATCTTTTACTCTATCTAATTTGATAATTATTCTATTTCCGGAAATAAGAATCATACGAATATATTGAATACCGACTGTGATTCGTGACATCCCTATGCGTTTTAAGGCTTTCGTTATAGAGATTTAATATTTCTGAAACAATTTTTATAAACATTTTACTGTTCAGGATGATTTAAGTAAAATTAAAATAGAAGACCAAATAAAGTGAGCTGTACTTCCAATGCCATGTTAATACAAAAAAAGATTAACCATAAATAAACTTAGTAAAATGTATACAGGAGTAGATAGAATATGAGAGACCCTCCTCCTCATTTTCCACCTCCTCCTCATTTCCACCTCCTCCTCCCGTTCCAGTACTGCTCAGATATACTTATATCTCCCCACTTACTTGTGTCCCCATTATATTTATTTTCAATTTTTATCACAAGTCAGATAATATTTAGTTTGAACATAATTAACAATAAAACAACATCAAATTAAAAATAAATATAGTGGGGACACAAGTGAGTGGGGAGATATAAGTGTATCTGAGCAGTACTGGAAGGGGAGGAGGAGGTGGAAAATGAGGAGGAGGAGGTGGAAAATGAGGAGGAGGGTCTCTCATATTCTATCTACTTACAGGGTTGTTCACCACATGCGACACGGAGTATTGTAGCTAAACGATTAGATTTTTACAAATTGTAAGTTTTGGGTTTGTTGAAGGACTATTAGAGCTACAATTTAAAAATATTTTTACAAGATACAGAGTGTCCCAAATAAGTAAAAAATATTATAGTTGTATTTTTTTAAATGGAGCACCCTGTATATTATTCTATTTTTGGATTCTACGATTGAAATAAAGGTAAATTTGATTAAGGTTTATCACACTTAAACCT